AGAGTCATATGGCGAGCAGAAATCTTCCTCACTATTGGTTGGATGATGTAAACGTTTTGGATGATTTCAAGAAAGGGGTTGTCCAGCAGATGGCGTATCGTTTAAGAAGCATCCTAAACAGCGAAGCAAGGCTGAACAAGATACTCAAATAGCCTTCATGACTCTGCTATATCTGTCTCTCTCGTACAATCAAAGCTACCTATCATTTTATTGAACTTGCAAAGATCGATTTTGGAAAAAACTAAATGTAAAGGCAAGAACATATCCCTCGGTGGACATTAAAATTTAAGTTTATTCACCATATTTTTTTATTCCTTATTACCCTTTTAGGTGGTTTACCTTGTAGACCCTTTGAGTATGACAGCCACGTCTCTCTTACGTGTTGGCTGGTTTTTTTTTTTTCCCCTGTTAGCAAAATAGTCAGCGGTCTTCCACTCAACCAAGTCCACATGTCGGCTTTTTTTTCAAACCAATATGATAGAACTATAAAGAGCGGTTTCGACTCTCTTTGTTCATAAAAATCCATTCGTATCCAGTTTTGATGGAAACTAGGCTTGGCTTCGGCAGTTGCGTTGATTCGCATGTTTTACCCCACTCTGAAAATTTGTATCAAGAGTTATTAAAGGAAGGATTTTGGTATTCTGCAAAATTAAAAAAACAACAAAAAGTGATTTTTTACAAAAAAAAAAGTAAATAAATAATGCTTACAATCACAATGTTGGTAATTTCTTCAACAAAAGCAACAACATTGATAATAACGATAACACGAATAATGCTAATGATATGATAATGATGAAGATAATTTGACTGATACTGACTACTTCTACTAATTATAGTAATGAGATGGTGACGATGACAACGTTCCTCAAAATGTTTTCCACTTCGAAATTTTCAATGATTTTCCACTCTCCCAGATTCCTTTGATAAACCAATCTCCATACTTTATTCCTCCAACTACTCAGATTCTAAATCTTCTGACTAATAAAATTCCATTCCTCATTGGGTTCAGTGGAAATTAAGTAACCACCTTGGCTTTTGCAGACATCACTGTTTTCAGACCAAGTTTCTTCCCCATCTCGTAATTGTGTACCGAGAATTTTGGAAACAGGCATTTTGGTACCACAGTGAACAATGCATATCGATAGATAAAAATATACAGATAGTACTTATTAACTGATACTTGTATTTATGACGATAATGGTGATAAAAACTAAAGCAATGATTGGAATAAGGTTTAAATTTTATCAGCGTTAATTTTGTTTTTAGGACAGGCTTCTCTATCCTTTAAATTCGTTGTTTTGTTTTCCTACCCATATTATTTTGGAATTGCTAACCAGCTAATGCAATTACAATGGTCAATCTGTGATTATTCTTATAAACCAGTCAAAAAACTTTCAAGTTCCATTTTACCAACATAACTTTTATATCTGGAACTATACCGTCTCACCTGTTCCTTGTAATTGCATCATTAGAGTTGGAGTAACTGTAGATTACAAAATAAACATATGAACAAATGAGTTATCGCAAAAACAGCATTTGAAACACAGTAAAATCAACCTAGAATAGTATTAATTCACTATCTAAAGTTGTTTTCTTTCTACATTTAAACTTCTGGCCACAACTTTTTCTGACTTCAGTCGGGGAGCCGTCAAATAGAGTTTAAAACGCGTTGCAGCTCAGCTTCTTATCAATTTGAACAAGTCTTTATAATTGAAACGCGAGTCTAAATGACACGTTTCAGTGAAATTTTACCCTTAGAAATATTTAACCTGGTGTTATATCCATCGCCAGAAATATTGGACAAGATGGCGGCCGCGCTAGCGCATTTCGTCCATAATGGAGTCCAAATAATATAAGAAACTGTATGGAAATTTATAAAATTTCTAAAATATAACAATCAGGAGCTCATGGTCCCGTCTACTCTCGATCGAGACATATTCAGTACTGATTCTGCTATTCATCAAACCTCACAGGGACTCGATAAATAAAAACCACCTACTTCCTCAGCCAGTTCTTTTGTCATTGATCATTGACCTAGGTCGCCATACAGTTCTTCAAAATCCGTCGTTCTCCATCCCAAACACTCGCCTATTACAGGAAAGTGCATCAATAAAGTCAACTGCTCTCGATAGAATTGACTGCTACAGAGTTCGAAGGGTCCAAATGTCCTGTAAAATTGCCATTTCCTCCCATCAAAAAACTTCCCAACGCGCCAGAATATCCCTTATTTTCCATGTTGAGTAAGTGACGAGACGCCATGTTGAAAACTATGACTGAAATAGTCAAACACGAGCAACGCTGATCTTCGAATCGTCGGCCATATTTGTTTATGTTCTTGTAGGGAAATATATTAGTTCTCAGGTCCTTTTCGGAATAAAAATATGCCAGGCATTGAATGCAAATTCAGTAGTCTCAGCGCAAAAATTAAATTAAAGCAAATCAAAATTCTGACATCATGTCATCGCTCTGCCTCGAAAAATCCCAGAGATTTACTTGCAGGTCTTCTTTCCTTTTTCTTTTCATCAAATAGAAGATCTGCGATGCTCAAATTGTATAAGTCATGGTACGAAACACTCTTCTTGGCAGATCGAGCCGTGATCGCCGCCATATTGAATTCTCTTGATATTCTATTGTTCCGGAGTGTAATACGATATACCGCTGATAATTGTTAGCGGGCTCGAAATGTCCTTGATTTCTGGCGATGCGCTCCTTACATAGCAAACACTTAGAATGACAACTTAACTCTGCTGTGAGCCAGATGAAATTAATGTACTTCCTTTCACGCGCTATTGTTTCAAGCGTGCAACTTGACGGAACAAACGCTGTCCAAGAATGAATAATAATCCCATTGTTATTTTAACATTTTGAAACTCTTCGTCGAAAGCAATAACAATCCTAGTTTAAACTCTTATGCAAGACATTTTATGGGTTTGCCGCGCTTACCGAAAAAGAGACAAAAAGAGACTGTTGATATAGTCAAGCACTGCCAAAGAACAAAGAAATCTCATAAAGATAACTTTTTCGACGGTAAGGTGTTGGTATCACGGTTGTGCGCTGATCATTTCCAGAGTTTTAGGCCTTACGGCTTAAAACATATACTTCTAACTGTATATTTCAATAACAAAATCAAGAGTTTGACATAGCTTGTATGTACTTACTCAGCGTAGAACGTATGGATTGGACTGTGAAGCCTTATATTTTTTACTGGAAAGAATCCCTTTCATCGCACCATAAATCATAAGTTTTCGTTAGCAGTTGTCAGTGCACTTACTCTGTTTTTTCACATGGTAGCATCATGACGGATTTTTCAACGTCTTTCAACCCTTTTTGCTGGAGGTAGACTATAGTGGACATTATAATGCTCTGTTTTTCCATCTAAGAACGGACCAATGAGGCTAAAGACAATTGCGCATGGTGTGGAGAGCTATTAAAGCAAAAGAAACGCACGGCATAAAAATAACTGTATTTAGTAAGCGTTTTGGTTATATCTTAAATGATATAAGGCCGGGTCCTTTAGATTGATAGCACTCCAAGAAATTCCCCTCTTCCTTAATTTATCATTTTTGTCATTTTTTCAATATTATGTCACGGCTTTTCCTCCGAATGAACCGGATGTGATTCCTCCCCAAAAACTGGATTTAATTGGCTGAATATTTCAGTGACGAGGCAAATTTGCATTCGCTACACTCGTTTTGGTTCAGACCTTAATTTCATACCGACAGATTTTAAAAGCTTCCTAAAATCAGATGGCTTATTTAAGAATAGTAAATACCACACAAATGATGAGTGCTTTTTGCGCTCGCAATGCTTGTTTTTATTTTCCCAGTTTCAAGGATACTTCCACTGTTATGGCTGACATCTCAGATTGAAATTTGACTCTTTCGAAAAACTGCCAATCTCACGCACCATAGTAGTAAGCACCATTTGCTCGCGAGCTTACATATTTAAAAGTCTGAGCGAGTCATGCTAATTTGTTACGCATCATGAGAGTTCGATCATTTTCGTAATCCTCTGTTTATTCTTTATTCCTTATGATCCTAAAGTTTGTGAAATCCCTTAGTCTCATTTCACTCAATAATCTTCAAAATATTTTTTAAGCTATATTTCAGAAGATTGCCCTTTGAGCTCTTTAGACACCTTTTACAAGCTAACCCAGAGGATTTAGGGCAATCTCTTTAAACTTTAAAAAAAAAAATTGAATTTTATTAGCTGAAGATTTCAGTGACGTGGCAAATTTGCATTCGCCAAATCGTTTTGGTTCAGACTTTGATTTCATACCAACAGATTTTGAAAACTTCTGAAAAATCAGGTGGGTGATTTTAGATTATTATTACACCCATTTTGAAATCACTGATGGTCCCTGTAATCTGATTGGCTCTAATTGGTGCGATTTATTGGCGAATCGCACCATTTTTTGCTTTAAATCGCATCATTTTCCCAGCCAATGAGGAGGCTACACTGAAAACAAAACAACCAATCAGATTTCAAGGCTTGTTTTCGGGAGCGATAACGAAAACCTCCTAAATGCGACTAAACTGGAAAACACAAGCGATAACGAAAATCTCCCAAATGCGACTAAATGCCGCTAAAAAACTGCCACTAATTGCGACTAAAATGTGGCTAAAAAACTGCAATTCAAACTACGATAACATACACGCGAGAAATCGTAAGCGTAACTTGCTTACGACTGATTAACGTTAAATGTCTCAGCGCGCGCGCTAATTGCACGACACGCCAGTCCGGTGCTTTCTTCTTAACAGCTTGTTAAAGTAACCAATGTATTGCAGGAAAATGAAAGACAAAGAGTATCATGTGGCAAATTTGCAACCCTTGTTTCCAAAATTCTTGTTTTTTCCCCGCCAAAAATGGACGAATTTTATTTCAAACTAGCTCAGTACTGCATCAATAAAATATTCGAACTGACCAAGTCCTGTACTTGGGCGATTTCAAAATGGATGTAATAAAGTGGTAATTGAACCTTGTGCCGTGCAATTTTGGTCTGAGATCATACTTGTGATTTCGTTCGATTTTGAAATCACACGTAAGATTTCAGCCCAAATTGCACTCCACTCAGTTCAATTACCATTATGTATATATACCACACGAGTGACGAGTGCTTTTTGCGCGCGTCGATTAGCCAGTTCGGAAGTGAATAGCAAATACTATTCACCTCCAAGCAGTAGATGAGACAGAATTGCGCCTCAAGAGTTTAATTTTCGACCATTTTCGGTATATAAATAAACTTATTTTTTGGTCTTTGTGTGGTACATACTAAAGTAATTATTCCCATTAGTGTCTGAGAATAATTGCCAATTATAACATAACGCTGGTGCTTTTCTAATCTAACTGCTATTGAGCCATCACAGCCAAATCTTTATGAACGCACGACCGGCCATGCGTGTATAAAAATTTAATGATGTGTACATTTATAATTTGCTAGAAATCTTAAGTCATGTTTGAGTGGTCAGATGTTTCTATCTAGATTGAGACAGCCCCATTGGATCTCAAAATCAAAAATGAAATCGCTGAAGAATACTCTACATCGAAAAACAAGAGAGAGCCTAGATTTTGCTCTCGGCCACCCTTTGGGCGGCTCTCACGCTTCTCCAAACCTTCCTCGTGTATCCATACACCTAAAATATACCCATGTTAAGCGTAGACCATCTCGTGAATTACCTAGTTGCTCAACTTGAATATTCTTACTTATTTTGTCAGAAGATATATTACATAAATCATATAAATTACTTTGCCGTAGATGTCTAATTTCTAGCTACTTGTTTTGCTTGTAAATCTCTTAAGTAAAGAAAACTAAAAGTGGTAAAACGTCGATCCATTAGATGTCGTGGCCGACAAGGGATTTGTCTGACTGCCCTAGTTAATACTACGACTAAAGATTCTGTTACATGCATGATAAAATTTTAAAGCAGCAGACGCTAATTTGTTGACCAGATTAGAGAAATCATGCATACCACCGAGAAGCTAAGTAAATAATTCAAATCATCGATGAAAGGTGATATTGAATTCAGTTCAATTTTTTTTTTGGCGACAACGTGAATAAATTCAGTGCTCACATGCTGGGACTTAACAAGACTTAAAAAAAAGCACATAAACAAAAAAAGCGTTTGATTGGCGCGAACAGTTTTCCGAGAGCGAAGCTCGAGGAAAACTGTGCGATTTGAGGAACAGATAATGTCCAAGGACAAATATAGAAGCAGATTTTCGTGACAAATTATGGCGATTGTGTTTATTGTCCTTCAAATATTTGCAACGTGCATGAAAAAAACGTTTACGTTTTTTTTTTTGTTGCGTGGGTGTCCTCTTTTGAGGTTTTTTATTAATATGACTTTATGAACAAACAAATATTTTACTCCTGCCGTAACAACCATAAAACGCTTTCTAAATTTAAAACGAAGACTTATTAGTTGAAGAGGACGTTATGTTTGAAAATTGGGAATATCGCCTGGGTGATACTTTTGGATATCACCCAGTTTGAGCTGGGGTTGTTAGTTACGTGACACGTTGGGACCTGATTGTGCGCCAGTAAAAATATTTGATGAATCATCACTTTTCTTATCTGTTCTTGATGAGAATGAATCATGGCGGCATAATACCTGTTATCACGTTGAGAGAGGTTTTCCGGAATTCATGCCGTTTACGCCTGGACACGTAAACCACTTAAATAAAACTGAGAGTAATCGTTATCATAAATTGTTATCCATGTTTCTCTCCCGAAATCGAAGTAAGTGGTATTTTTGAGCGAGATTCTATACATTTAGTGGTCGATTGTGGCATGAAATGTTGCTTTATATTATTTTACATAATACCCTGATTCTGTTGACATTGTAAACCCCACCATTCTCCGTGGGTGACTGCTCAATACAGGTTTGACTGTACATTTTTTGCTTTCCAGGACACAAAATATTAAAATCATGAAGGGATACTACTTAACTGAGAATATTCCAAATTTCGAAAACAAAACAGTGCATATCAGATGAAGGGGTTTTTACCGAATTCTATTTTTGGTTAACACGACACGAAAACAAACAGGCTTCCGAATCTTCAAGAAATTTAATCGATGTGTGAGCACTTTTTAGTCTTATACCTTAAGTCTTTCTAGAAACGGACCCATTGAGCGTTCTTTAAAAAAGTTAATAAAACGAGAAGACAAATTCTAGCCTTTTTCGCCCAATGTTCGCTGTATTTGTCGCAATATTTAAGCTGGGTCGAATACGAAATGACGGTGCAGGACACTTCCCGAATCGATTCTAGTACGTCATTTAAGCTCGTTTTACTTTCATCCGTCATTTAGGTTGAATGCGCCACAACTAAGAGATTAAAGGCAATACGAAAGTGTTCCAACAAAGACGCAGATTCTCAACAGAAATGGGGAAGAAGAAGCAACGGAATTCCCGACCCCAGGTAAGACTACAACCCTTCTTTCTTGAGTTCAGTAATAAACGTATTGAGTGAGTTTATCTTCCTCTCTCAGCGAGCACCGGT